TTTAATAAGAATCATTTACTTTACGTCGTCTTGCTAAACTGTGAGGAATAATACTATCTAATAATCCTGGAAAAACTTACCTCAGAAGTGCTGATAGTTTCATTTTGAGGAGCAACGGATCAAGCTGATGTGAAAGTAAGTTATTTATTCTTAAAGGGATACTTCACCTCTGGGAAGATGAATGTGTATTTAATATTGGTCATTTATATAGTAGAAATGTGAAATTATTTTTTAAATTTAACCATTCTAGGCTGAGAAAAGACAGAAAATGTATTTTTTACTCATGTGGTTGAAAGACAACAACTCCCAGAATGCACTTGCTTTGCTGCCCTTACGAGGCCACTCCCAAACCACGCCTACCGGTTACAGGCGGCAGAATCCGAAAAATGGATACAACTAGGCTTGCTTTGATACATCGTGAGTTATTTGATCCATTTCCATCAAAATGGTGCTAAATTGCATTGGGATGTACTAGCCTAATGTATATAACACAACTTAGACTTTCACATTAAAAATATGATGCAAGGCAGGACCATGTCAACAGAGTAGCTTAGTAGCTCTGCATATGAACTGTTTTCCTCCAATTGAAATCATTATTTCTCTAAGCTAATACATTTTCTAGTCTAATCCGTAACACTAGAGGTTTATAAAAAGAACCACAACCAATGTGAGTTATAACTTTTAATTAAAAAAAAATTTAATATTAACACTTTTACACTCAAAGCTCTGCGGATTCAGTGATCTCGTCCAGAAGAATATGGCATCGCTGAGATTCGCGACAGCAATAGGACTCTATATCTGTTTCCATAGGCGCACAGCGAGAGCACTGACACCGCCAGTCTGCCCCAGCTCGAGTCTGGCCGGGCTCAGGTCCCGCTCCGGCCGCCTGTTGTTCCTCCATCTCCCGCAACTGTTCATTGCTGTATTGCGGCTTGTACAGGTAGCCGCGAGCATCAGATTCTCGCAACAGATCTTCGAAATCCCCTTCTGCCATTTCAACTTCAAAACTACCTTCCGCCATCGTGATTAGCCTACTATACAAACTTTCTACACAGACCAAGAGGCAAGAGCCTGTTAGCTTAGCTTCTACAGAAAGATGGCTGACACTATCTTTACATTCTGTGAGTGAGATCCCGCCCCATATGGGCGTGGTGAAAACATGCGGAACACTGGCTGTAGTCTTTAGCCTCTGGCACAAAAATCCTCCGATGACACAAAATGACGATTTTTGCGTCATCGAAGGATTTTTTCCAGACTAAAAATGTATATTTCTCTCATATCAGGGGGATATGAGGGGGGGGGGGGAAGCACGGTAATTCGAAAATACTACTGGTTTTCTACTGATACAAAGCTTAATGCTAAATCCTGAAGTATCCCTTTAAGTGCTTTGTTCTAATCGCGATATGGAATAGTGTCTGTAAACTGCAAAAGACTGTTTAATTATGAATCACGTGTCTGTGTGTGAATGAATGAGGTGCGCGCTGTTTTTACACTACAGCTGTACAGCGCACATCTGTGCCATTCATTCATACAAGTAAACATGTTATTTTTACATGAACACATCTGCTTGTTTAGCTTTGACCAAACTATATTGATAGAGCCTTCTGAGATGAGTAAAAATAGACAGAAATATGTTGAAATAAAATGTCTTTGTATAAGCAACAAACTGCAAATTAACATTTATATACTAATATATCATACACACGATATGTTACAGAATAAATATGAATGTTTAGACAAGATTTCGTTGATTAGTTTTTACTGTAAAAAAAAGACTACTGCCACATCAAATAAGCTTTTGTTCGCCAATCTCTGCTCATATGTTAAATATATAGTAGCATATGGGATGTTTTGTCAAAAATAAAGTAGGTATATTGAATTATCAACTAAGATGTTATTATAGTGTTTGTTCCAATATTCAAACTAATGAATCCTTGCCTTAGAAATATGTATGATATGATACAATATATACTTTTTATAAAGAAAGATTACACTTGAAATATTAGTAAAATTGCAATGGTTGTTGTAATTGTAACTTTTTTTGTGTGTTTTATAGTGACAATTTTAGGGAGAGGATATTCCAAAACTTTCTGAAAATACAGTATGAGAATTAACTACACAATTACTAGAAATGTTTACCTTGGATATTATACAATTTGCATGCATACAAAATTTGTGGAAAAAGACACATTTTTTCAAGATGTTTCCAACTCTAACTTTGAACCAATTCTATAGGATATATATATATATATATTCATTCTACAGAATTGGTTAAAAGTCAGATTTTGAAACATCTTGAATTTTTCTTTTCTTTTTCCACGATACCACAAGAAAGAATGCGAGGAATAAATAAATAAATATATATATATATATATATATATATATATATATATATATTAGGGGTGTAACGGTTCACAAAATTCACGGTTCGGTTTGAATACAATACAGTGGTGACACGGTTCGGTATGTTTTCGATACAGCAAAAAGAAAAATGCCAGAGAAATTTCCTTGATTTTTACATTTTTATTTATTTATTAAAACTAACATCATAAAGTGATTTACATTTTTTATTTTTTTCATTTATTAAAACTAACATCATAAAGTATGATCTTTTTTTAATTTGAACAATGATGGAGCTATACTTGACTCTTCTCAGCAGCATATAAAACAAAAACAGCTGCTTATAAAAAAAATTAAATGTAATATTGTAGTAGTTATAAACAAAGGTTTATTTTAAGTTTGCAAGGCTCCAGATTAACATTTGAGGGCAGCAATTTTATTCATAATGTCAAAATAATAACGGTTAACGGAGAAATGTGAATGCTTCTCACTAGATCTCGCAGCGATGTTATTACTTCAGTGGCGAACTCAAATGCTTTCTTTACTGGATCTCTTAGCGCTGTGTAGTGACAGTGCCGCTTGATCAAGATCGGCTCGCGTTGCACTAACTGACAATGGACCAAACTCATAACGGTCCATTAAACAGAAATGAGCTACGCAGTTTCGTTCCGCTTTGTTGGTCGGCAGGAAAAATGGTCCAACGGATCGTTCGGTTTTAAATGTGTACCGAACCAAAAGCCTCGTACCCCCCCAGGATATTGCCTTTCCGAACAAAAAGTGTCTTATAAAATTTAAATCAATGTATTGTTTTGTGTGAATGATTAGGCAGGATGATTTTCAGATCATTTTGAAGCAAAAACTCTAGGCGACAACATCCATTAGTCAAAAGTCTTGTGGACACATATTTAGTCTGTGTTTTGTGGCCTTATTTCAGAAACTTTAAGTTAGTTTTTTCAATAACCATGCATAAACAATATTCTCTCAAAAATACAAACATACATGTTGCTCATATATTATGGTAGCCCTGTTTGTGCTAAATAGAGTGTAATTTCACCTGTGCCATTAATATGTTTATAAGCAACCGAAAAAAGCACAAATGTCAGTGCATGTCAAAACATCTCAAGGACCCCAAAAACACATTAGACCCCAGAGGGTTAATGTTAATTACAACTTTAGAAGTATCTCAATGATACTAACAAAAATAAAAATATAAAAAATATTTAATAAAAACAACATACCCTTTGGCAAATTTGGAAACACTTATAAGGTCTCATTTCTAGTTAACAATATTAGTTAAAAGGAACTAACAATATTTCAGCAGGCAGCATTTTTTAGTCTTAGTTAATGTTAATTTCAACATTTACTAATTCATTTTAAAATTAAAAGTTGCAGGCCTAGGCCTATCTGTTAACACTAGGTAATGCCATGAACTAATGATAACATAAACAACCCCATAACCCTAACAGTTGTATTTTTATTAACCAACATTAACAAAGATTAGCCTGACAAATGCTGTAAAATATATTGCTCATTGTTAGTTCATATTGGATAATGCATTAACTAACGTTAACATATTGTTAAGTGTTATACACATTTCTAATAGGCTAGTTCATTCTATCAATGATGAACAATAATTTGTATACAATTTATTAATCTTGGCTAATAAATAATATGGGAACACTTTATTTTACTTATTTACATATTTTTACATATTTAACATATGTATTCTTGATAATATGTTGCATAAATTTACCATAGTAATAACAGTAAATTATGCTTAATTACATCCAACTAACCCTCAACCAAACCCTAATCCTACCATAACCATATAGTAAGTACATGTTGTTAATTAATATTTAATTAATAATTACACTGTAACAATAAAACCTTAAACTAATGTGTAACCACATTTATAAATACATTGTTATTCATAATAGGCCTATTTCTTAAAGAAACAATTTGCTATCATACACAACAATTTAGATGTGTATATAAAATATGATCATCCTTTCATGTAAAAATAATTATTAAAGCTATGTGAAAATGATATTTCAATTTGAATTAATATTATATGCGTGTAAAATATTATTTGAAAAATAGTTTCTACTATAATTGTTTTTTTTCCAAGTATAGTACTAGTTTGATTTAAATCCATTTCTTTATTAAATGTAATCAATTTTTATTTATTTAGTCAGTTATCTGTTTTTGTTGTTGTTGTTTTACATTTTTACACAGCTTTTCCACTCACCCCCAGGACTTCCTTTTGTGGCCTCCTTTGAAAACACCTAAATATGTTTACTAGATTTAGTTCAATTAAACTATTGCGTTACACCTTCCCGTAAAGTATTGCGGTACGCAATCAGGCTAACAATCCTGTAAACAATGATCTGCCAGTAACGTTAGACCAACCATCTTCAAGAGTCTGCCTGTCCCGCCTTCGCATTTCACCGTCTCTGATGTGTTGACAGGTTTCGCTCCTCCTCTTCTGGATGTAGCACTGTACAGCTCAAGCACCGCCTCGTCCTGCCCCTCAACAACTGCTTACAACACGGTTATGAAAAGACGAGCTTGATTCACATTAACAGTAAGACTTGCAGTCTCACTTTGAATAGCTACGGCAGCGATTTCTGTCTTATTGATTGGCTATTCCCTGAAGCGATCGCTGCCGGTGCACTTGAGCTTTTTGTGCATTGACGGAAGGTGAGTGAGCGAATCGGATTGGACTTAGTTGTTGTTAATGTCAACGGTCTGTTCGTAGGCTTTGTGTGAATTTTTATTCGCTCCTGTTCTGCTTAACGTTACATAAAAAGATCGGGGATGTTTGATGTTCTGCGCGAAGCTCAAAATTATGTTTTAGCAGTGCGCTGTGTGCTTCAGTCAGTGCTTCAGGATTTGACGAACTCCAGTCAAAATATATTTTACCAGAGCGTAAACCAGACGCGATACCGAATTTTATGAATGCTCAACGTTAATACATCCTTTTTTTACACATCAATACTGGTTGATTGTCAAGCTCTATTTCAGCCATTTTGGTGGGAAATTCTATATACGTTAGCAGCTTGGCCTTAGCCAGCCCATAACGTCCTCGGGGGCTTTGTCCTTGTTTTTAGCAGCTGAATGTAACTTTTTGTGGTTATGATTGTGCAAAAAGGCATCTAAATAGGGCAAGCAACAAATTGCTTCAGGTTAGTTGCTTATGAGTAAGTTTTCATCTCCAGTGTTTTACTGCTGCTGTAAGATTTTGTAAAGAGGCAATGACTTGGCATAACATTTCAAAACTAAATCTGGGTCAAATTATTAGAGTTTTGGGAATACCTAATCTGTACTATTTGTGAAAAAAGAGTTAAATATTGCGAAATATAGAGCTACCCGATGCAAGGTTACCAAAACCCATCAACCTTCAACTTCTCCCATGACTAGCTGAACATCCTGCCAATATAAACAACTTTCAGAAAAAAAGGGTTTTCTTTGTTTGTGTCTCTTTGGTGTTCAAGGACCAAAAGCCCTCAAAAAGGAAGAAAAACCGGTAACACTTTATTTTAAGGTGCTTGTAATAAGCAGTAATTAACAGTTAATAAGACACTTATAAGACCTTATAAGATGCATATAAGATGCATATAAGCGTTAACTAATGATAATAAATAAATTACATTAAATAATAAATTTCTCAAGTATCAATACATTGCACTTTTAGAACAGCCGAACAAACATAAATGGTAACACAAACTCCCAGTCCCTTAAAAATTGACCTTCCCAAGAGGGAGTAGTTTCCCTGATCTCTTCAGGGCCTGGACCTTTAATTAACCCTTATATGAAGTAGTTAATGCTTATATGCATATGCATCTTATAAGGTCTTATAAGTGTCTTATTAACTGTTAATTACTGCTTATTACAAGCACCTTAAAATAAAGTGTTACCGAAAAACCTTCTTTCTTTTCTGGTTTTCGCAAATATTTTGATGCAAATCCGTCTGATAGACCACAGTAGAGCCATTAGCCTAGCTGCCCGCTTGGGGTACGTTTTTGCTTAATAAATGAAAGAGTTTTAACCTACTTTTTTTGGGAAGGAGGACTTTTTTTCCTGATGTATGTCTAAATATTTGAAAAAGAGAAAGAATGATAAAATGCATTTCTAAAAAGCAAGCTATCCCATTACATCCGAGAGAAAAATGATGTCAGCACCGCCTGAAGTTCTTTTCAAACCCTACTACATCCCCTTTTCCCTCAACATTAGGATCAAAATAGACGGCTGGTGGGAAAATCTCCTTCCTTTGCCCTTAAGGTCTCCAGCTTGTTTGTGCAAGTCAGCCTTTGTGAAGGCCACTGGCCCCAGTATGCTGACTCAAGCTTCTATGCTGCATGTCATTCATCTTGCTTCAATAGTTTGGATGGTGCTTAATTTTATTTTCTGAAGTGTATTTTAACTTCTTTCAAGACAAAGAGGGTAGAACATCAGGTTGTCTGTGTTCTGCTTGCTTGCATTTTGCTCACATACTGCTCACATACTTTTAACTGTTTTCATACCAAAAATGAAGTATAATGAAGCTAATACTTGTCAAGCAGTACAAAAAAAAGTGTGTGAAACGGTCTGATAAAGCATTTCAAGGCTTAATGCTTTCTATTTAAATTACTCAGATAATCAAATCAGTCAGTTGTTATTCTTGTCTTTCTTGATTCTGATGCAATTAGAGTAGTTGTCACATAAGCGGGCCCAGAAGTTGTGTATTGGCTTGCTTAATAGGTGATAGAATCTACAGATAATAACTAATCCAATCTAAGAAATCTAAGTGCATTCATTCTTTAATGGAATCTTTTGGTGCCTAAGATAGATAAGAACGAAGAATCACTTAAAATGCATTGCTTGAGGTTTTTCTATTTCTTTTTTTTTTCTTGAAGTATTTAATAGGTCTTTTAAATCTCTTTACAGACTCAGAACTGACAAATTTAATGATGACGACATCATGGAGTGATCGACTTCAGGACTATGCAGACCTTCCGGCAAACATGGATGGCCTGGCAATGAAGAAATACAGGAGAGAGGCCTACCATAGGTATAACAGAAGAACAGACTGACTGTATAGTATAATGACTGTTTCAAATTAAGTCGCTAGGCTTCCTCAGAAGGAAATGGCGTTTTGAATATTTACACAGATTTCACTTTAATTCTTTCTATTTAGATAAAGTTTCATTTGTTTGCAATCCACTCATTTTAGAAGAGCCCATTGAGTCTCAGAGTGTAGTGTATAATAGTTATAATTGTATACTGAGCATTCCATTAGAACATTCTCTATGATTTTTGCATTTTGTGTGCTGCTTTAAGAATGTAAGCGACTCTTTCAAGAAAGGATACTCGTATTTAGACAGCAGCTCCACTGGTAAATTGGGATATTCAGCTAAAATAAAGAAAAAAGCTAACTAATTATAGGCCAAACCCTGCATCTATGGTTCAAACTACATACTGGAAATGGGCGTAGTGGAACACGTGACTCAGAAACATAGAGGAGCTTTTGCAACCTCACAAATGTGTTTACTACCATGCAGTGGAGTTATGTGATCTTCAATATATAAAAGGAGGGTCATTCGGTTCTTCGCAAAAAAACTGCCTCTTTAATACATGACGTCACACTTGTGGCATTAATCCAGCCAAAGGTCACGTCTGTAAGTGTAGTTTACTCTTCCTACTTAACATGAACTTTGACTTTACATTTCTCCGTGCTGAAGCCAAAAGTTCACTGTCTTTTTCCATTACCCAGATAAGTGGGTTGAGATAAGGAAAAGTAAATGTGAGTGTCAAGGCAAGGATTCCACTGTCTGTACAGTCTATTTGAGGTCCAAAGGCAGTGGTGTTATCTGGTGTGTGTGATGTGCAGTGAAAAATTTGTCAACTCTCTGAAACTTAGTAGGGGAGCTGTTGAATATATTACAAAATAGAAACAAGATTATAGTCCATGTATATTGTAGAATGACTAAATCTGTGACCCTTAGTACAGTCAACGTCTTTTTAAAGTAACTCAGTTCATGCAGCGACCATCTTTGTAACACTCCCAGGCTATTTATATAGGTAATAAGCATACAATAACCTGAAAACCATCCAGGGGCGGATTAAGTTCTACTCTACACAGGCCTCTAGGCTCAGGGATTTTCTCAGTGATGCACCAACATTTCGGCAACCATTCTAAAAATATTCAGCCAGAACCGGATTCTTTTTGTCTGGAATGTTTTGGAATATTTTCAAACGGTTGCCAACATTTTGGTGTATCACTTGTTGAAATGTCATCATTAAGAGATAGAGATCATTGACCAAAATCATTCACCAAAACAGTTAATGTTTCTCCGATGTCGATAACTGTCATGAACAACCAGACAAGGTTAGATCCAAACGCAGCGTGAGTTTATTCACAGGGTAGTCAGACAGGCAAGGGTCACAGACAGCAAACACAGCATAGGAGACAAGGCAATACTCAGGATCAGAAACCAGGCGAGATGACAGAGGCAGGCGGCAAACGAGACGGAATCCGGGAAACAGGCAATGGGTCAAATACACAGACAGGAACAGACTAGACTAGGAAAACTAGGAAACGCTCGGAGATGTACACAACAGTGAAACAAGACTTAGCAATGAGTGAAAGTGAGAGTGGGGTATAAATGAGTGTGGAGCTGCGTGTGGAACTAGATGCAGGTGTGAGAGTGATCAGTGGAAACAGGTGTGAGTAATCAGTCCAGGGTGTGTGCGTGAACAGTCCAAGGGAAGGCAGTGCAGAGGTGGAGCGCCCTCTCGTGACACTCGAGGGCAATCCAGCCGAACCTCATCACATAACCCCCCCTTTAAGGAGCGGCTACCAGACTCGGAGCCAGGGCGGAGCACACTCGGAAGGGAGCCAGGGCGGAGCACACTCGGAAGAGAGCCAGGGCGGAGCACACTCAGAAGGGAGCCAGGGCGGAGCACACTCAGAAGGGAGCCAGGGCGGACACTCGGAAGGGAGCCAGGGCGGAGCACACTCAGAAGGGAGCCAGGGCGGACACTCGGAAGGGAGCCAGGGCGGAGCACACTCGGAAGGGAGCCAGGGCGGAGCACACTCGGAAGAGGGTGAGGTCCATGTCGACGTCGTCGCCATGACCCTCACAGGGTACCTCCTGCCCCCCCCCCCAAAAAATACTTGGGGAAATCCACAGGAGAAACCTCCAGGTGGTAAACGGGTTCAGGAAAGAGCTCCCGGAGCTTGAAGGGCGCAGGCAGGGCGAGGCGCAGAGGCGGGGTCTGGGAACGCCCTCCGGAGCCTGGCGAGCCAAACGAGTCCTCCCTCTCTTCCTTCTGCGACGGAGCTTCACTGGGCTAGATTCACTACTGGACGTACTTGACTCAGACTCACTTGACACAGTAGACTCGGTAGACCCACTTGACACAGTAGACTCGGTAGACTCACTTGACACAGTAGACTAGGTAGACTCACTTGATTCGGGACTCGGTTCATTTGACTCGGGACTCGGTTCACTTGACTCGGGACTCGGTTCACTTGACTCGGGACTCGGTTCACTTGACTCGGGACTCGGTTCACTTGACTCGGGACTCGGTTCACTTGACTCGGGACTCGGTTCACCTGACTCGGGACTCGGTTCACTTGACTCGGGACTCGGTTCACTTGACTCGGGACTCGGTTCACTTGACTCGGGACTCGGTTCACTTGACTCGGGACTCGGTTCACCTGACTCGGGACTCGGTTCACTTGACTCGGGACTCGGTTCACTTGACTCGGGACTCGGTTCACTTGAGTCGGGACGGCTCACGTGAAGCTCAGGTTCGTTAGGGCTGACGTGGAGCGCGGGCTCGGAAGAGAAGTCGAGAAGCGCGGCCGCGGGTTCGGCGGGGCTGACGTGACGTGCTGGTTCGGCTGGACTGGACGGGACCAGCGGGGCAAGCAAACCCACAGTGAGAGCCGAACCACTCAGTAGAAGAGCCGTGTTAATATACCGCCTTAAAGTGTTGTGAGGCTCTGGGTTGGGCATCAATGAGCGAAGCGGTTCAGACAACCCTCCGCGGAACAGGTTCGTTAGGAAAACGTTGTTCATACACGTATGATGAGAAAGTTCATAAAACTCCGCCACATACCATTCGAGAGAACGATCCTCCTGATGAAGTTGCATTATCTCAGCACCCGTATCTGTGCTCGGAATCGCTGTGTGAGCTCGTTGAAATACCTCGCTGTTGAATTTTACCGGGAGAGCTTGGCATGACATCGGGATCGGTCCTAGGCCAACAACTGTGGAGACGGGTTGATTCTGCGATGGTCCCGGTGGGAAAACATGAAGGCCGCGAACCATCTTGGCCAACCTCTCCAACGACGCGGTGAGTTGATCCAGTTGATCCTGGCGTACGGCGGCTGACTGGGAGGCATACAAGGCTGACATGCTGCTGGATCTGGTGTGGCTAAGTCTTCTGTCATGAACAACCAGACAAGGTTAGATCCAAACGCAGCGTGAGTTTATTCACAGGGTAGTCAGACAGGCAAGGGTCACAGACAGCAAACACAGCATAGGAGACAAGGCAATACTCAGGATCAGAAACCAGGCGAGATGACAGAGGCAGGCGGCAAACGAGACGGAATCCGGGAAACAGGCAATGGGTCAAATACACAGACAGGAACAGACTAGACTAGGAAAACTAGGAAACGCTCGGAGATGTACACAACAGTGAAACAAGACTTAGCAATGAGTGAAAGTGAGAGTGGGGTATACAGTGGTGTGAAAAAGTGTTTGCCCCCTTTGTAAATATGATCAGAGATGGCTGTAAAAAATAAATCTGCATTGTTAATCCTTTTGATATTTTATTTTAAAAATTTGAAAAAATCTAACCTTTCATTGAAGTAAAAGAATTGAAAGTTGGGGGAAAATCACATTATGAAATAAATGTTTTTCTCCAAAACACGTTGGGAACAATTATTTGCCCCCTTTTATTAAATACTTTTTGCAACCTCCTTTTTCCAAGAGACCAGCTCTGAGTCTTCTCCTATAATGCCTGATGAGTTTGGAGAACACCTGACAAGAGATCAGAGACCATTCCTCCATACAGAATCTCTCCAGATCCTTCAGATTCCCAGATCCATGTTGATGCTTCTTCTCTTCAGTTCAGCCCACTCATTTTCTATAGGGTTCAGGTCAGGGACTGGGATGGCCATTGCAGATGCTTGGTTTTGTGCTCAGTGACACATTTTTGTTTTGATTTTGATGCTTGTTTTTGGATCACTGTCCTGTTGGAAGATCCAACCACGGCCCATTATAAGATTTCTAGCAGAGGCTGTCAGGTTTTGATTTTTTATCTATTGGTATTTGAACGAATCCATGATGCCATATATCTGAACAAGATGTCCAGGACTTCTGGCAGAAAATTAGGCCCACAACATTAAAGATACAGCAGAGTATTTCATTCTACACATGGGGTACTTTTTATCCCTGTGTGCACCAAACCCATCTTAAGTGTTTGCTGCCAAAAAGCTCTTTTTTTTGTTTCATCTGACCATAGAACGTTTGAAAAGTAACTGACACTACAGGAACTTCAAATGGGACGGGTTCTATGGTCAGATGAAACAAAAAAATTAGCTTTTTTGGCAGCAAACACTTAAGATGGGTTAGGTTCATACAGGTATAAAAAGTACCCCATGTGTAGAATGAAATACTCTGCTGTATCTTTAATGTTGTGGGCCTAATTTTCTGCCAGAAGTCCTGGACATCTTGTTCAGATATATGGCATCATGGATTCGTTCAAATACCAATAGATAAAAAATCAAAACCTGACATCCTCTGCTAGAAATCTTATAATGGGCCGTGGTTGGATCTTCCAACAGGACAGTGATCCAAAAACAAGCATCAAAATCAAAACAAAAATGTGTCACTGAGCACAAAACCAAGCATCTGCAATGGCCATCCCAGTCCCTGACCTGAACCCTATAGAAAATGAGTGGGCTGAACTGAAGAGAAGAAGCATCAACATGGATCTGGGAATCTGAAGGATCTGGAGAGATTCTGTATGCAGGAATGGTCTCTGATCTCTTGTCAGGTGTTCTCCAAACTCATCAGGCATTATAGGAGAAGACTCAGAGCTGGTCTCTTGGAAAAAGGAGGTTGCAAAAAGTATTTAATAAAAGGGGGCAAATAATTGTTCCCAACGTGTTTTGGAGAAAAACATTTATTTCATAATGTGATTTTCCGCCAACTTTCAATTCTTTTACTTCAATGAAAGGTTAGATTTTTTCAAATTTTTAAAATAAAATATCAAAAGGATTAACAATGCAGATTTATTTTTTACAGCCATCTCTGATCATATTTACAAGGGGGGCAAACACTTTTTCACACCACTGTAAATGAGTGTGGAGCTGCGTGTGGAACTAGATGCAGGTGTGAGAGTGATCAGTGGAAACAGGTGTGAGTAATCAGTCCAGGGTGTGTGCGTGAACAGTCCAAGGGAAGGCAGTGCAGAGGTGGAGCGCCCTCTCGTGACACTCGAGGGCAATCCAGCCGAACCTCATCACAATAACATGTTTGGACCATGTCAGGGTCTATTTCGTGCAAACAACTTGAATAAGCTACAAACATTATGCTAAAGCAGTAATATGTCAAATTTGTCCAGCTGAAATATCAAGAGACAACTCGTTACCAAAGAACTTAACTACAACTGATTTAATTTATTACCTGAGAACACAACACCCTGAGCAGCATAACGAGTTCAATTACTCAATTTCCCAATTGTCCAAATTTTATTTTTGGTTTTGGGCTTATTGTAAACTTGAATTTTGGTGCATCACTAATTTCAACAAAATATTACTAAACTAAAAAAATCTGACAACAATGCTCAAATAACTTAAAGTCCCCCTGTAGTCAATCATTTATCCCTTAAACTCACCTTTGATCACCAAAATGACATATTTAAAAAAAGTTTTTTTGCGGATCCATGAATGTGCAAATTAGCCCCGTCGCAACTAACTCATACAGGCTCTCTAAGGCCCTGTTTACACGAAAACGATTCCGGGTGAAAACGTAATAATATTTTATCGGATGTGCCTTTCGTTTACACGGCGACGGCGTTTTTGGGGCTTAAAAACGCAAAAAAGTGAAACCACCCTCCAAAGTGGAAATCTTAAAAACGCTCCACCGTCGCGTTTCCGTCTAAATGGGTAAAAACGCAAATCTGCTCATGGCGGCTCTCGTCGCGTACACATTTACGTCACAGGCATGCGCCAGTACAGGAAAATAACAACCAACATGTCGGATTATTTCCATACGTCGGACCTTCAAGTTGCCCTAGCAGCTCTGATAAACGTCCAAGAGTCTTTTCAATTTCGCGCTACTAGGGAGAGAAGTAGAAGGAAGGTTGTACGCAGCCGCACGGACTTGTTGTTGTTGTTGTGTGGCAGTGCTTCACATTGCCACCTAGCCGCCTGGAGTGCATACTACATCGCATTTCTAACACTTTTGCGTCTCCATATGCACGCAGATTTCCCCCCCATAACGCTCGTCTAAACGCAGAATAAAAAGTGTCAAAACGAAACGCCACTTTTGCGTTTTCTCTTCAGATCGTTTCCGTGTAAACATGGCCTAAGTCGATGTATCAGAATGATAATGCGTTTTATGTATCGGTCTCCACAACGTTGGACACTATGGTAATTAATATGATTAGCCTTTTGCTTGACTACGTTATTAAACAGCTAATAATGTGTTGGTAATGTTACACAAACCATGTTCCCGTTTGCCATCTCATAGTCAGACAGCTGCCTTCTAAAAACCAGCATCCTTAGAAACGCTTTGAACAACTCAGAACTTCAGTGGAGAAAGGCATATAGTTCATCATAACATCGTAATACACATCATACACAAAATTCACCCTCTAAATTGCTAAATGTACCCGATTTTTCATATCAACAGAAAAACATACCGGGATAGCCTGGATTCTCTTGAGACTCCCTTGCTTCAGAGCATAGTAATGATATGATAAAGCCCTGCCCCTGTCCACATGTTGATGTGATTGGTAACTTAACATAACATAAACACTGCAGTATTAATTAAGGAGAAAACACACAGCAATGGTTTTGACTCATGAATTTGCATATGGTTTGTCTTAAAGCATATTAAAAACACCACATAAACATATAAACAACATCACATGGGGTCTTTAAAAGCTTTCATTTTCACATGCACATTTGTGAGTAAACAAACTCAAAAAGGCGGGACTTCCCATTTTTCAGGTACCATATTTCTTCCATTCATTTCTATACAAGTGATCCGCCTCCTCCCCATTATAATGTCTCTGGTACAGTATAAGTAGCCTATTACAGAATAGGGCAACAATGAGGATCCATTTGAGATACAAGAGTAATCTGTTTTCCAGCTGTCTCTAACTAGTGATGCACACTGTTGTCTGAGCCGCTGCGCCTGCCTGGTTCTTCCTGCTGTTGTTGATTGTTCTAGATGTCTTTGAAGGGAAGCAAACAACCCCTAACTCAACAACTGGCACAACAACAGAGAATGCTACAGAACTGGCACAATCATTTTTGCAACAAGTCAGAAATTGAATGACAAGAAAGCAGAGAGAGGGGGCTATTGTTTGAACTGTGAGGGTAACAGGGTGAACAGGGAAATGGGCTTGACAGACCAGATAGAGCATTGACATCCACTCAGAATGCAGCGCACAGGTTCTACCTGGAAAACTGAATCATGGTGGGATGTGGTCCAATGTTATGCCACCACAAGGTAGGTTTGATCAAAAAAATAATTTGGTAGTGATGATTTGGTAGTTGTTGTTTTTTTAAATTTCTCTCTTTTTAATTTTGTAAATTTTTATCGGGTTGAAAAAGCATTAAGCGTTAAGTCTCTGATGATCTTTTTTTTTGTGTGTGAAAATATACTAAACATATATTCAGCTGCTGTGTGACAATTTTTAATTTGTTATTTCATATCATTGAAATTGCTTCCGGATGCAATATAAACTTTAATACTTTTGTAAAATTATGGATGCAATGGCAGTGTACAAATAAACGTCTGTTGTTTTCTGTGATTTATCTCTGTCAGTATCAGATTATATGCATGCACAGAGAGTGATTCAGAATTTCCTTTGTGTTCATATCTTGGCATTAAATATCATGACTTATGGACTAAAGCATAGAGTTGTCAGTATGCAAAATAAATGCAGATAATCTTGGCCCCGTCATGGAATGGGAGTTTATTTATTGCCTGGAATACCATACTGTATTGGTTTTTGATATTGTTTCCGAAAGGTATCCCTTTCTCTAAAATTTAAATATATGCATTTCATTTCATTTTATTTTATTTTTATTTTATTATGAAATGATTTAGCATCTGACTGGAGTTTGTCTTAGTCCTGCAGAGATTGACAGATTGATATAAATACTTCACTTCTAAAATGTTTGAATAAGGTCCTCAGGTTTTATAGACCTGAATTATTACGAAATTCTGGAAAATCGCGGTCTTGTTTTTAAACTATTTTAATTGGTTCCTAATCCTTGCAGAATATTGCAACCAGAACACATACCTCTGACTGTTTCCCCTTCTTCCCCAGAGTGTTTGTGAACAGAAGTCTGGCCATGGAAAAGATTAAATGCTTCGGCTTTGACATGGACTACACTTTAGCAGGTGAGGTGTTTCCTACTTTAATTGATGATCACGCATAATTGTTTACAGTCAAACGTCTATTTTGATAGATCCGTCCCTATGTTCATGTCTCTCAAATGGATCCAGTAACACTCTTGCTTAGAATCTCAGGGTAAACGTACAGTAGGATTCTTGGGTATATTTAGCTACCCCTCGTCTGGTTTTGGAATCTGGAAAACTGAGGTGATGTCTCTTATACACAAAGGGCCAGATTTACTTACAGCTTGCGCCACCGCAAACCCTCTTTTGGCGTTAAAAAACTTCTGTCAGAAAGTATTTACTAAAGACACACAGTGGAAATTAGCGGTGAAAAGGCGTGGAGCGCTATTTTTGCGGCTGACCTTATTGCATATGCATTTGTAAGAGTTTCCCTTCCAGATGCAAACTTTATGGGAGAAGAGTATTTATTGATGATTAACGAAGGTTTGCGCTCGTCAATCTACTGGTATTTGCGCCATTATTTACCACCCCCAAAAAAGCATGTCTTAAACCAGATGCTAACTTGCGCTAACTTACGTTGGTCATTATGGAAATGATCCGGCTGCGTCTGTGTTCTTTAATTTGCGCGTCGTCAGTAGATCAAATCCAGAACTTTCCAGTTCCATCTGCGCTTTTTTGGAATTGCGCGCTCATGCTAATTTGCTCTGTTTAGTAATTCTGGCTTAAAGTGTTCTATTTTCTGTGATCTAAACCATAGTTTGTCTTGTTGGCTAGGGGCTTAGTTTGTTTAAATGACTATCAACATAAACAAGCCAATTATTTACAGCTTAATATATTTATGTCAGTTAGGTGATCCAAGAACCTGAAATAAGAGAGGGTTTGGTTTTTATGGTGCAGCAGTTTAACATGGATCAGATGCATTGGGTTTCCGAAATCCCTTTGCTTTCTGTTATTGGTCCCAGGGACTCAGCTGCTGGTGGTGGATAAAGTCCTCACTAAATCCGGGCTGGGGGCCATGAGAGAGCAGATCAGTTCTTTGACAGTTAGAATTGATGGCTCTTAAGAGGTGGATAGCGTGTATCGTAGCCAACCGGCTAATGTGGCCTGAGCTGAAGGCTTCTCAGCTGTTGACATCCTCCACATTACAGCTGGCTGTAACCAAGTGCAAATGTTTACAAGTACAAACCCTATGTGGTTTCTCATCCTCTGATCAGGTTGCAACCACAGTAACTAACTTCTAATACATCACTCTTGATTGTTAACCAAAACATTTGTAAAAATTAAATCGTTTACTCACCCTGATGTCAATCAAAACCTGTATGACTTGATTTATTCTGCTGAACACAAAAGATGATATTTGAAAGAATGTATTAACTGTTTTTGTCCATAGTCAAGTCAAGTCAAGTCACCTTTATTTATATAGCGCTTTTTACAATACAGATTGTATCAAAGCGCTTCACAGTGATAACATGAAACCAATATAACAAAAACAATATAACAATATAACAAAGTTTGTTTCTAAAAGAAATTGCGTCAACGTCCACCTTAAGTAAGGAAGATTAATAATATTATTGAATATTAAATGTTAAATGTCCCCAACTAAGCAAGCCAAAATCCAAGGCAACAGTGAAAGTTGAATGAAAGTTCTTGCATTCAAAACAACAATGGACCGCGCATTGACTTTATTTGTATGGACATAAAAACATGACATTTGAAAAACAAGAAAAACATATTTTGAAAAAATGTCTCCGTGTTATCACTTTTCACTCTTGGTGGAGACAAATTTTCTTTTGGCTCTACAATGGAATATTAATAGATGTTAGTATTCATTGTTCATCTCAAATCCAGGCTACAAAAAAGCAGTGTACCAAACCATACAGGGTTTTAGGACCACTTTCCAACACAATACTAGATCCAAGCCCTGTTTAATATTTCCTGTCGCTTATTGAGTCCATTACCCAACCAAATCCCCTTTGTGATTGAGACCAGCGTGCAAGATAATACCCTGCACGTGTACAGAGCTGTGGAACAAACTCTCCATCTAAGCTTGGTGTTGACAGCTCTTCAACCTGGCAGTCCATTAAGTCACAGAGGAAGCCCACCACCTCTGCATTCTTTGTATAGACTAAAGTCTTTTTCACAGGACAGAGAAATAAAACCCTGTTTAAACAGCAGAGTAATGTTCACTTCAGAACTTAATTTTTTTTAATTAACTAGTATATGAAAGACACATTCAGTACAGTCTATATGCTGTTGTTTAAGAACCTGACAGCAGTCCAAAGTCAACCAGAGGCTTAATGCAGCCAGAATGTGAGGGAGATGAGGGAGAGGTTGATGGACGGACTGAAAGGTTGGGGGTTTGTTTATCCTGTACAACAAATATAATTTACATTTTCTTACGAAAGGTAACATGAGCTATGAACTCCAGCCTGACATCATACCCTCATGCTGATCCACCTATGCATGTGTAATAATCTGTCCAGGAGTGTATTCGGCGTATGGAGGAAGAAACATGAATCTTCATGGCCTGAGTATATATATATAGGGTGATGCACAGGTCATTGCAAACAAGTTTGTAGCTGTAGAATCTGGAATGACAAATATAAGATGTTGTAAATGGAAGGATGTGGACGTATTTGTCATATGTTATACAGAAGTCTACTCTGTATAATATATCATGTATAAGATTACTCAGTAAGTAATCTTACTGTCGTCAGTCATGGAGGTGAAAGCTCTCTGGCGACAGCTTAAATTAGTTATGATGAAGATTTAATCGTGCCCATTAAAACTCATATCCCCATTTAAAAGGGGGCTTACTGGTCTTTACTGGGTTTGCTGATCAGTGACCAGGCAAGGTTTTGGCCACAGACCAGATAAACCAGCTGAATATCAGCTTTTATCATGTTAGGAGACAGACTAGCAAGCCATCTTTGGTTGGGATTGCCACACGGGAGTTTGTGAGTTTCTGAAAAGCTGATAAAGCAATAAAACGAAGCTAACTCCTTTTCTGCAAGCGCTGTGAGTTTAACGTCATTTGGGAATGCAATGTGCTATAGGTTCACTTTATTTGCATTCACATTTGCATAATTTCCAACATTTTTGTGGACAGAAATTTACAGGATTTCACCAATATTCAAGATTTGACATGTTAAAAGCTCAAAGGTTTCAACCTTTGAAAGAATTTAAGGCAAATATTTGTATTGTAACTTGTAGTATTAGTTGGATCTTGTAAAGAGTGAACCCAAGTATGAACACCCTTAAAAGCAATTGTTTCCATTAGCAGTCTTTGTTCTTTGATCTCGCGTCAGAGGTGGGAGAAAGTCACACAAGTTCAAGTCCCAAGTCCCTACCATCGTCTCGGGTCAAATCTCAAGTTGCAGTGCACACAAACCAAGCAAGTCAAGTCAAGTTTTTTTAGTAACTCATATGTTTAATCTGGCTTTTATATTTTCTATGATTTCTGTCTATGGACTTTGACAGAAAATAACTTTCCCATTAAGGGCCGATATTTGCCCCCTTCAATTGATTTCAGACCTTTTAAAATGTATGCATCATCTTAGAGGTAGCATGAATGGCATTTACACTAAAATTACAACTGCATAAACAATGTTATGAGATTAATGTTTTAAATAAAACAAAAACAGAATATAGAAATATCCAATCCAATCCACCTTTATTTATAAAGCATATTAAAAACAACACTGTTGACCAAAGTGCTGAACACAGTCTAAAAAATAAACAATAACATACAACAGAAACACAAAAAAAATAATAATAATAATAATAACAATGAAAATAAATACAACAAAAAATACAAAGCTGAAAGTCAACCCTCAAACTGAGTTAAAAGCCAAAGAAAATAAATGAGTTTTTAGATGAGATTTAAAAACAGAAAAAGACTCATTCCAGAGTCTCGGAGCTGCCACTGCAAACGCACGGTCGCTCTCTAGATTTACGTCTGGTCTTGGGGACGACCAGCAGTGCCTGATCAGCCGACCGGAGCGAACGAAGGGGGGTGTAGGGCACGAGCAGATCAGACAGGTACTGGGGAGCCAGGCCATGCAGACATTTAAAAACAAATAAAATAATTTAAAAATCAATACAAAAGTGCACAGGGAGCCAGTGGAGGGATTGGAGGATGGGTGAGATATGGGCAAATTTTCGAGTTCCAGTTAGAAGCCGAGCAGCTGCATTTTGAACTAATTGTAATCGAGCCATAAGTGATTTGCTAAGACCACTATAAAGCGCATTACAATAATCTAAACGGGTAGTGATGAAAGCATGGATTAAAATTTCAAAATCATGTCGAGATAAAACTAGTTTTACTTTGACTAGTTGCCTCAGCTGGAAGAAGCTAGTCTTCACCACTGCACTAATCTGGGCATCAAGTTTTAAACAACCGTCCAGCTTGACTCCCAGGTTTGTAACCTCAGGGCTAATGTTTCGGGTTAGACAACCCAGGTCAGCAGGAACCGCAACAGCTGAGTCACTAGGAGCAAATAACACAAGCTCCTAAATTCATAGCCATCCATGCTTTCACTTCATTCAGACACTCTAAAAGAGTTTTTGACTGACTTAGCGGCACATATATTTGGCAGTCGTCAGCATAAAAATGGAACGAAACATTGTGACTTCTAAGGATTAACCCAAGAGGCAGCAGGTAGATTGAAAAAAGTAGAGGCCCAAGGACAAACCCTTGAGGAACTCCGCACAACAGAGGAGCGGAAGAGGACACAGCATCACTGACCTGAACTGAAAAACTTCTGCCTTCCAAATAGGACATAATCCAGGCTAGGGCCAACCCCTTAATGCCACATAGTTCTCCAACCGAGACAATAAAATTTGGTGGTCGACTGTATCGAACGCAGCCGTAAGGTCCAATAGCAGCAGAGCAACCGTATCACCAGAGTCTGAAGCCAGAAAAATGTCATTAAAAACCCTCAGCAGAGCTGTCTCAGTGCTGTGGGCTGACTTAAACCCAGACTGGAAAATTTCAGTTATACAATTATCGTTCAAAAATGTGCTCAGCTGCAAATAAACAA